GTGACAGAAGGTCCAGTTCACCAAATCTGCTTGGCAACAGGCTCCGGTCCTCACACGTGTAGAAGAAAAAGATTTTTTTTTATTTCGAGTTTTCTGAATTCTGAAGTGACATTTTGATTCTCTATTACCACCTCATGATAGATTTGTGTTTTGCGCCATTGTAGCTATAGTAGAAGTGGTGGCCCTCACAGAAGTCACAGAACGTGGGCCACACAAAGGCATAAAGACATGTATGTGTGTGTGTGTGTACACGTAAGGAAAACTACAAATTAAAATAAGCATCAGCAGAGGTATGATTATGGCTTGAGTATGTTAGTTTTCTATTTATAACAAGACATGAAATTTCTTCATTGCTATGAAATGAAAAACTAAGTACAGTATAAACACACTGTTATCTCTTTTCCAAATATGATGGGGCCCATACACATCCTTTCAAAGTCTGGGCTGCTGTTGCTCTTAGGTCAGTAGAGGACACTGCAGCCTGTACATGTGAATGTGATTTGAGCTAAGACCCCACATAGTGGATGCAAGGAATAAGGAAATGCCAGAATCTATTCCCATTATCATAGTGAATGTTTTATATCTGCATATCAAAGTAATCACTCTTCCATTGTATTAATCCTTTAAATGGACCTGCACCATGTCAATTGTAGTTACTATGTGTGTTGATAGTGGCCTTACTGACCGTCTGCTACATGATGACAACAGAAGAACACCGGGATATTCCATATTCCAAAAATGGTGCAGGAAGTATGAAGATTTTAGTAATACCGCAATGTAAAAATACTCCATTACAAATCAAGGTCCTGCATTCAAAATACAGTACTGTAGAATTGAGTTCTAAAACCAGGAAGTGAGTTAGTATTTTTGCACTTGCAGTTCCCTCACCTTGAAGTCAAAGGGTTTTTGAACGGGTTTTTGGTTAACACAAGGCCAGTACTTTTTCACGTTTTCTACGAAATAAAATGCAAAAAATATGTCATCCCTGGCACTGTGTATTACTTAACAAAAGTGCAGTATCAGAAAAATCTACAGTTAAAAAAGTAAAAGTATTTGATTGATATTGACATTGGTATCATTGCAGTTGCATTTTAACGATGTAGCTGGTAAAGGTGAGGCTGTTTTTAACATCTTTATATACATTGCTGTATATAAAGTTTTAATAGGCAAATATTTAATATTTGTAGGCTTAATTAGCAAAGTTGTTTGGCTGTTATGTCACTTTCAACTTTTCCCATTTTAGAGGTCACCACAGCGAATCATCACATTGACAACTTGCATGCTGACATTTGGCACTCGTTTTACGCTGGATTCCCTTCCTGATTCAACCCTGACTCGAATCTGGGCTGCAGCGGTGAGAGCGCTGCACCTTAACCACTAGCCTACCAGGGATGGCTGTTTGGCTGTTATGTATTTGAGCAAAAAATACAAAAACATAAGTGTAAAGTAGTGTAACATAGAGACTTACAAAGTATACATACAGTACATCAGTTACTGTACTTAAAGCAGCACTGATCAAAAATATTATGGGGGCGACTATGATTCAGTGGGTAGAGCAGTGGTCTCCCAACTAGAGGGTCGGAGGTTCGAATCTTGGTGCCTGCAGTCCACATGTCAAAGTGTCCTTGGCAAGACACTGAACCCCCAAGTTGCCGCCGATGGTTAGAGCCATCGGTTGAGTTGGCGCCGCAGATGGTTGCCTCGGTTCTGTACCGGAAACAAATTCCTTGTGTGTGACACATTTGGCCAAATGAAGGTGATTAAAATGGATCATATATATGATGTGAAATTGGTTGCTCATAGTGACAAACCCACAAAGAATTATCACCTGACCCTACAGTTCAGTTTAGTTGGAACATAGCATATTTTAGCTAATTGTTTTGGTTTTGCAGACTGCAACTTTAAAGTTTTGGTTCACTTTGACACACCACCAGTGTTGTTTACAACCACAACAGGCAGCTGTTCAGTGACAAATCTCTGATATACACTACCTGTCCAGCACCAGACAACACAGTTAGCTGGTGAACATAGAGCATTTAGCAGCAAGCAGTAAAAAAATTACTAGATGGTCATTAATTCCAACATTGTGGTGTCACTATAACATTCTGATAATATTCCTATACATTCCTATACAGGTTTTTGTCCACTATCCAGCCATCAAAATATCATAGTCCTTTATACTTTAGTGTGGTGTTGTGGTAAGTATATTTACTAGGAAATTCTGCTTATTGTTTTTATAAGAGGAACTCAAATGAAGTGAATATGGGAGCTACTAACCTACTTTAGCATTGTGCCACTGACCAGCAGGGGGTTTCTTGGCCAGGGACACTATCCTTTCACAAGAAGTTTTTGCTTCAGCTGGAGTCCAGCCCATCATTAATTCCCAGCCCCTGTAGAGCTCTGCTACACGGTCTAGTGTAATTGTTTCCTCAGGGACTCAGACGAATGGTTCAGTTGTCTAGCTCTACTGTAATCCACAGGGCTGTGTATATATGTGTGTGTTTCAGGGACAGAGAAAGAGAGAGAAAGGGTGGGTTAAGGGAGTTTCTTTACATCATAGAGAGAAAAAAAATGATCTGAATGACATAATTTTTAGCTGTGACTTTTTTTAGCTTTTAGTTTGACTGATGCTTAACATTAGCATAACAATCATGAGTGTTATTGTTAACACCTGTGCTTTTCCCTCTAGAACCTGTCAAAGTGCCTGCTCTGAAAAAGGCCTATACTGTAGGAGAGTGAGGGAGATGTCAGTCAAGCACAGTCTATACATCCCCACATAGCCCCCAGAAGAGGCTTAATACCAACCTCCTGTGTGGGTGGACCAAGGCTGTCATTACAGTCCTCTAGATACTGGTTGCATCACAGCACACACTCAGTTAGAGCAATTATATTCACCTGATGTTGCAGGTGTAAATTAGGCCTTAGCAATGGCCAATGCTAAAGCCAGTTTGCTCCTAGTTTCCTTTTTAATTGTTTGTTACTGACAGTAATGACTTGTGGCGCTGCTGCCCATCAGAAAAGCCCAGACATTGTACATGACATATGAATGCTTAACCCTGAATGCTTAACATTTTAAGATAATTTAAGGTACAACAACAAATTAAACTTGCATGTGGGTGAGGGTTTAGCCTTATTGCACAAAATTTAGATATATTATGGTTAAAATGTTATGAAGTGTATTTTTTTATTTACACCTTCAAAATAAATCTGACACATTTAAAGTTTTTTTCTTTTTTTCTATTCTGAAACAATGACGACATATTTATTCTCATGACCCTGTGTGTTTCCAGAAAGTGGACAGTAGAGGGCAGACTTGGTACTGAAAACAGACAACAGCTATGGTTTTGTGGGAAAAGAGCTGAGGAACCTGAAGGCCCTTCAATAAATAAGTAGAGTAAAGACCCTCATTTCAGGATTATAGCCTCAGCAGCCCCATATGACAGCATGTTTTTTAATGTTAACTATTATTTCATGATGACATTTTCTGTTCACAGTACAAAGTGAAATGGGGCAGGAAGAACTATGAAATAAAAATATACTGTACAGTGAAACCATTCACTGTTTTGCTGAAGACCACCAACAGTGCATAGAGAGCCCTATGTGTTTTCTTTTTTTTTTACTAAAACCACAAGGTAAGTCATAATTTTTTTTTTGCCACCCATCTCACCCATTGAAAGACCCCTGCAACTCTATAAATTGTCAATACCAGTTAGCCACCATTCCACTACACAGCAGTTCCTGCCTTTATTGTGGTTTATTGCACCCTATGAACCAGAGTACAATGTCGCAACCAGCTGTGATGAATGTGAAAAAGAGGAAACTGTCATTTTTTCCTGCGACCTGGTCAGAAGAGCAGATGGCACTGCCATCTGTCTGATCTGTTTAAAGAACGCTGCAGGCAAAGCCCCAAGTCAGACAAACCAACTACAGGGCCTGGAATGATCTCATAGCTTCCATTCTTGTTTTCCACTCTGAAGACATCAAGATTGAATCCCTTTTTTGAGCTAAAACTCAGTGTACAGTGCAGTATAACACACTCAAAAGACTTTCCCTGGAATTAAATGACTAAATTTAGTTGTGCTGTCAGTGCAGTGTTGCAGTGTGTTTTCATAATGCGGCGCATGTGCTGTCAAAATGATGAAAATGTTCTTTTTATTTGCTAGTGTTTTGTCTATTTGCATGTTTTCTCAAGGTGCTTTGAGCTCCAGGGCCACCATAGATAGTTGTTTTAGCTTGGCTTTTAGCACAGTGTCCACTTCTGTGGCTTAAAGTAACGGAGATGCTATGTTCATAAGTTGCATGTCAGGATAACCAGAATCATTTTTTTTTAGGGCAGCTTTTTTGCTGTCCATTTTTAGCACAACTTGAGGCATGTGCATTTGAATTATAAGGAGGACAGCATTCTTCATGTTTAAAACTAAAAGGGACTAAAATCATTCATGTTGACCACTTATTGTGAAGTCATGGAGATACATTTAAAGCAATGAAAAGATAACCTTTTGTACATTTGTGAAGCAGCAGCAATTTATCCTATTCATCTGAATGAAAACTACTGTCACTTGGGTTTGTGATTTCTTTCAAGTAAATGGGATGTTTTCTCTGGATATGTTAGAAATTTTGCTGTTGCATGTTTTAATACTTTGAATAGTACAAGCTAAACTCCATTTCCCATAGCAGTGAATAGAATGTGTGTGTATATGTGTGAAGTGGCCCTACGGGTTTTTTTTTCTCTCTTTTTGAAGGCATCTTCCACAAAAAGCCTCTTGAGATGAAGATGAAAAGCCTCATCAAGGGTAACCACGCTAAGTAAGACACATATTTTCTGCTCTATTTGTAAGTGTTTAATGTTTGTTGTTGTGGTAGTATTCTGTACTATGACTCATTACAAAATTACTCATTATTACTGCAGTCATTGCTGCTAGTTTACACAGTCTGATTGTCATCTTTGGCTTTTAATATCAACAAACTAACAAGAATGAATACTGTGCAGTGAGCTGGGACAAACTGGTTAGTCTTTGTCAGGTTTGCCCGGCTGCACCTTCCTCTCTTCCTTTTCCTCACTCTAGTTTTGCTTCCCTGATTACACTATCTAACACACCTGCCCACTTCCCTTGATTATCACCAGCTGCACCTTATCATTCTCCTCCCTACTTATACCCTGCTCACTGACCACTCCCCTGCCAGTTCAATCTCTGTCTCCAGGCCCCTTTGATCGTTGTTTTATTTCTTGCGCTTCTTACACCAGTCATAGTTCTCTCTTTTTGTTAAGTATTACCTTCTTTTGTTTCATCCTGCTGCTTCCTTCCCCCTCTCTACAGACCGCTTCTCTGGACCCTGGATCTACTCAGCTCTCCCAGCCACCACCATACAGGTCGATGCACAGTCTCCTTTAACTGTTTGTTCCATACTCCTGTCTCCGCAGTCATCTTCACCTCAACCCCGACCTATCCAGGAGTGACCCCAGCGTCCGCAGCCTGGTCTGTCATTATTCACCACTCCATAGACTGTATGTTTTGTTTTTGTTTTTTTCTCTCCCACTGCTGATCGACACCCGGTTACCACTAACTACCTCCACTTCTCATTGCACTGTTTCACTGTGTAAATAAATATCACTGCTTGCACCGAAGCCAGCTATCTGGGTCCGTCTTTTTTCCCCGTTCGCTCATCATAGTGTCGAGCATCCCTAACAGTCTTGTACAGTTTTCCCAGCTGAATTTCTGTCAAGTTTGTGAGATCTTGAAATACTGTGTCTTTTTCAGAGAGAACCTTGTAAGTACAGTAGAAACCATATTAAACTACTGTATGTTAAATGGGGTTATTTAGTGACAGCATAGTTTAATGGTTTACTTGAAAATGTGTTGGGTGTGCATACTTCCCTGCACTGTAGACAAAATAAAATGAGATTTATTTCCATCTTATCAGGGGGATCATATTTCAGCCTGTCCTCTTAAATGTCATCTTGAGTCCTTGGCCAGGAATGCACCATGTGAGCAAACAGATCCTGCAACATCTTTTATTTAATAGCAGCAGACAGTGTTTTTACCCTGTTGAATCCTCACCAGCAAGTCTTGCTGAAGTCTCCTTAGGCTTGTAATATTGTCTTGTTGTATTAAAGAAAAGCTGCTCTGGAGCTTTCTGTTAGGGGGCATTATGTTTGTGCTCAACTTGAATTCAGGTCAGCTTTGCACTTAAAACTGTATATGTGGGTGTATCTGCTTTCACTATGCAACAAATCAAGAAACGGAACAGAAAATCTTTACTACGCCATTAGTCCATGTCCCCAGTGGCCTATTTATTCAGAAGACTGACCTTTTCCAGTTACTTAAATAACATTGGGGAAAAAAAGATGATAGAAATTCAAAGTGGGAAAATCTGATATAAAAATCAATTTTCTCCATGTATACCTCAGTAACTGCTGTAAACTGAGTGGCCCCAATGGACACAGGATCCAGCAGAAAGTGACACTCACACCTCTGGCCCCCATTTAATAATGTAACTTCCTTTGGTGTACATGAATTGATAGTGTGCCCTCCAACGTACTATCAGTTGCATATATCATGACTGTTCATTCATTAAAACGGGATTTCCTCTCAGACTCCTTTCTCTGTCTCCCTCTGTACTGATGTTGCTATTGTGGCTGTGACAGGCTGTCTCAGGCTGGTTCCTCAGCTGTCTCTGTCTCTATCTGATCCTGTAATCCTTCCGTCAGTCTCAGCTTCCTCTGTCAGCCCTTCTTACGCTCTCGCATTTTCATTATTTAATCCCTCCTCTTCTGTCTCAGTACACGTGAGTATAACGGGAAATTTAGAGTCCAGCTAACAAAGCTCCACTTCCTCGATATTGGACATATTGTAAGAGACACACTTTAAACTTGACAGGATGAGAGGAACAGCTGAAATGTGAGTCGCAGTGGAAGCTGAGCTAACGTGTTAATTTCCTTTTTCTTGCCAGGACTGAGTGCAGGAAAACACTCCCCAGGAAGCGCTGGCCTGGCTGGTGAAAAGTTAACAATATATATGCTTTTTCTACCCACCCCGGACCTGGTGTTTAACACAGGATGGGTGAGGCAAAATGTTTTGTTAACCTGTTTCCTGAAAGCCTACAGATATTTTGGCTTTATATCCTCAGGTTTTGGGGTCCCACAGTCCTTAATACTGTAAAAATTTAATCAAAAAATATAACAAAGCACATTTTTTTCCTTTATTTTTTCATACTGACCTTACTAAACCCTAACATGGATATAAGTATTGAGGGAGTTAACCCCTTTTTACAGATTGGGCTTGCACCATTGACTGTGTATAAAAGTGGACAACCCCACCGTGACACCACCCATTGGTTTTCTGTAGAAAAGTTGTTGAAGCGCAAGTCTCGCCGTCACCATCTTGGTAGTGCTTCACTCCGATTTCTGGGTCTAATCCAAAAACGGAACATGAGTGAGGTAGTGGCTAGCCATAGCTGGCTAGCTACTACCTATTGTTCATTGCAATATTTTGTTCTGAGTTGTAGTGGAGCAGAAGTATAATATAGTATAAAATGGAAATCATCAAGTAAAGTGCCAAAAGTTAGTAACTTTTTCTTACTGCTTTGTAAACACGTTTATTTGTAATTAAGGAGGGTGTGTTTCTGAAGACCTCTGAAAATGTCATCAGTTCAAACTCCTGCTTATAGGCAGATAAAACAATGTTAAGTATGATTTTGTGCTGTTAAAGAGGATCCAAGGTCTCCAGGAAACAGAACATTACAGAAACAGTCAAACTTCACTCTGTCAGTCTGTACTGAGAAACTTCACTTTCTTCTCTGGCAGCCACCCTGGTTTTCTCCTCTTCTTTGTTGTTACTGCCTTGGCCTGTGCTTCCAACTTGTATTTCAGTTTGCATTTCTGAGCCAACGTGAGACTTTAGACAGGCTGCTGTGCTTGTATGAGTAATTACAGGGCAGAGGAGACAAAGAAAAAAACTGTGAACTTTTCTCCTCCTCTTTCCTCCAGGCACTCAAGGTGCCTTCACAGACCCAGAGAGGCGCACAGACAGAGGGGAACCCCAACAACATCTCTGTTTCTACTCCTCACCCTCTACCAATTTCTTCACCCCTCTGGATTCACCTCACACAGCAGACTTCCTCTCCAAGCACCAGCTTGAAGGGAAAAGGGAGAAGATACAGTTTCTTTACAACAATGGAAGTGCAATCAGGAAGTAAAGAAGAGGTGATGAGTGCAGTGTCGGTGACCTTGGGCTCTGTTTCTCATAGTCTCTCTGGGCCACAGGTAGCATCAGTGGATCCAGTGCTCAGGGAGGACCTACAGGCTGCTAAGAGGGTTGAGAGGTTTGGTATCCCACTTGATAGCCTGAAAAGGATGTTTGAGAAGCCTGCTGTGGCAAACATAGTAAGTACTGCCACTGTGCCTTTTTGTCTTTGTTTTTGGTGTGTGCTTGTTTTGTGCAATGGAATTCTACTCTTGTCCTGGTAAACTGAGAGTTAGGTACCTGCCATGCCTGAACTTTGTGCTAAATGTGTCATATAGATGGATAGGTGTGGTGCAACCTGTAGTACAACATATCAAAAAGCTTTTGCAACCTTCAAAGTAACTTTGAAAATGAGGACATGCCCAGATAAAACAGATCAAGTTTCTGAGTGGTGAAACTGTACACTTGGCAGATTTCACTGTTGCAAGCTGTAGTTTTCTTTTGTTACTGAATGACAGTTTAGAAAGATATTAGTTTACCCTGCTGGTCAGTTATTTTGCAATATAATGGGTAACATTGAAGATTATCTCATTTGTTCAGTATGATTCTCTCATTGGCAATTTGGATGTTTCCATCTTTTTTGTTGACTCTGATGAAAAACAGAGAACATGTGTCCTTGCCGGAGAGTAAAATTCTCTCTCCTACTTTGTTTTTCCACCTCAGCTGGCTTCTCTGAGAGGAAAATCTAAGGCTGCTGGAAGTGAAGCAGGTCATTAGGAGAAAACCTCTCATTTACCAAATGTCTGACGATGACCTACTTTTTTAATCCTGATGTTATTGTGAGCACTCAGAATGCTCCAAAGACAATGAGCTCAGTGATGGCGCATGGAAACCTCTCTTCAAACAATCCAAACTATAAAAGTATAATCCAGCAAAATCCACAACAGCCAATGCATTATGGTGAATGTAGTTTTCAGTGTGTACCAGTGCCAGCCAGCTGAATCTGTGTGGTGGGTTGCTGATATTTGACACCCTGTTATTTAAGACCTATCTTGGGGAGCTTTATGGTTATGCAGCATTTTAAAAATAACCCCGTAACTGGTATGTCAGCTGCTGCTGGCAGCAGTGCAGAAGTTATTTATTAGGCCAGAGACAGTGGAGAGAGACGTGGGTCAGTTAGTCAAAATACATCTGGCTCCTGTGCTGAAAAGTATTTTACAGATTACTGTGGTTAATGATCAACATTATTAAAGCTAAAAGTTAAAGATGGCATGTTTTGTGGTTTTCTGTGGAGGTCATCAGACATACTGCATATCTGGGCTACTTTGGTATGAGCTGTAAGAGCAACATGGGTGGCTGTGGCTCAAGAGGTAGGGCAGTCGTCTCGCTGACCAGCAAGTTGGTGGTTCGACTCCCGGTCTCCCCGCATGCCTAAGTGTCCCTGAGCAAGACACTGAACCCCGAATTGCTCCCGGTGGCTTGATTAGCGCCGTTGTGTGGCAGCTGTCGTCATCGGTGTGTGAATGTGTGCGTGAATGGTGGTATGATCTCCCTGTAAAGCGCTTTGGAAAAAAGCGCTATATAAATACAGTCCATTTACCATTTACCATAAGATAACAGCTCCACTTTAGTTTTATTTTGGCTGTTTTGCATTCCATGGTGTCTCGCTGACCATTAGCTTTCTTTGGGTTCCCATTAGGAGAATGTTCTCTGCCTTTGCTCTACAGGGCTCGCTGATCAGCCTCTTTCTCTCATGTGCAAGTATGAGGACTACTTTTACTACTCAAAAGAAAAAAGTAATTTTTTTAATATTCTTTTTTTTAAACAGCAGGCTCTTTGTATGCCACAAGTTCCATCGCATGTAGCATCTTGGCATGGTATCATGAGTGCTGCTCTTATCTTTCCTTGGAAAAAAAAAAGCTTGTAGCTAGTGTTAATGGAATGGGCAATGTTCCAAGATTTCCTGAAAGAGGAGAATACTGCAGCCAACTGGTTATAAAACACAACATTGTCTCCAACTCATCTGTAAGGATGAGTTTAATATTTAATGATGCATCGTATTTTTCTTTCCACGCCCCATTTCATTCATTTAAATGATGCAATGTCATTGGATGGCCAGTCATAACAACGACTGATGGATTCCCAGGTGGTCGCTCATCTGTGGCCAAAATGCTCAGCAGATGGACAGTCTGCATTTCCAACAAACACAACGGTTTATTTTGAGTCAAAGAACAAGTTTTTCTTCCTGTGTAGCTGGCTGAGCCTCAAGGGGACGCCAGCTTATGTTTTCCAACATCTGTCTGGCTTTCTGGTCATAACTGTGCACACTGGGAAGAACAGACACACTGCTGCATGAGGTAGATGAGGCGATAACTGTGCCACAGTGTCGTGCGTGTACTGTTCAGTAATTTACATGCCTGCAAATATGCACAATAACATGCCATGAATCAAGAATGTGGAACATTTGCAAAAAGCCTTCCATTATTTTGTACTAACTCATTAAAATGTTCCAGCACAAATTAGTGCTTACATAAATTAAAACCTTTAAATACTCATGACCTGACTTGGCATTCATTGATGTGGTAATGGCCACTGTTGGCCAGTGGATGGCAGTGTAGCATCTGTGAGGGTTGGGGGGGGTAGGGTTGGGGGGGTGAGTCACCTACTGTTAATTGGAGTTGAGTTTTATTTCCTGAAGTTGTCTTCAACTGGCTGTTCTCCTGTGTTTGAGGCTGTGAGATTATCAGGATTAGCATAATTGGCTAAATATGTCATTGTGATGTGTTTGGTTAATTTAACACAACATAATATATCTAAAAGGATTTTACAGTGTGGGGTAAAGCTGGTCACAGGATAACATGGTTATAGAGAGTGGGAGCAACTTTCTAGGTAAGGGCTCATGACTCTGACTGAGGTGTCTACATACTGTATATTCAGACTGTGGCACTAGTAGTGTGGAATGTTCCCTTGGCTTATTTTCATGACTTGTATCGTCACTGTCACTAACTCTGTCTCCTGTTTTTTTTGTGTCTAGCTGCATTGACTGCAAAGATTCTCATTTTCCTGTAACTATATTCCCTCTGTAATGTGCCCTCAAATGAACTGTTTTCCGCAAGCAATATCATTCTAAAAGACACTAAATGGAGCAATACATTTTCATATAGTTCATTTCTATAGCTTTAAGTCATCTTTCTGCAGCTCTTAAGCAAATAGTGTGAATTTTGTGCCATGTTGGAGTCTCATTTTAAAGCATTATGCTGACAGATGAGAATGATTATTGACTTGTGGACTATTCCCCCCCCCCCACACACACACACACAAATCAATATTCACCACTGTTCCTAAATGCTCATAATTAAATCTTGAATAAACTAAATGCCACAATGTGTCTGCAAGAAACTGATCCAGACTTGATGAGGACACAGGTGTCCTCATGCAGTCCATTGAGTTTGTAAAAATTCCATTAACTTTTACCAGGCATCTGTTTCGTCTCAGTTTCACAGATTCAAATCTTTTAATCGAGCTGGCACTGGCGCTGCGTGTGTGATGCATTGCTATTCTACTGTGTGATGATGACTTGTTGCTCGCTGCCTTAGCTCTGAAAATAGTTGCACACTGAAACTCTCTGCCTCATTTGACTCATTCAGATAAGTCATTTGCCTACCTGTTGCTTGTATCGTTTATGGATTTGGTGAATTGAAACATACCTTAAAGTTTGCTCAGTACCTCTGTCAGTACTTTCCCCTTTTTTCCAGAGCTATTGTGTTCACATATGTGATAATCCATTCCCATAGCTGGGAAATGAATGCATACCTCCAGGCGTTTTTCCACACAGAATGTTGTTAGACTCCGATGATCTCTTTAACACATTTAAACACTCACAGACCCACAAGAGCATATGTGTTCAACAAGACCTGAAGGTTTACAGTTTAAATCATTTACTGTAGATATGGCACTACGTCATTGTGAGGGCAGCTCTAGCTCTCATCACTGAACCAATAAAAAAGAGGAAATGCTCTTCAGAAAAGGTCATTCTTATGACTAGAGTTTTCACAACAAAGTATAGTGACACAGAACAGTGGGTTTATAGTTTAAGACTAGGAGCAGCCATGTGAGTGTGGTTGTACTTACTGACAGTGTCTTGTAATGTTTGTCTTTTTAGTTTATTCTGTTAGCATGCTAACACTTGCTCATAGCACTAAACCCAAAGTACAGCAGAGGTTAATGGGAATGACAGTTTTGCAGGTATTCAATCATGAACCATTAAAGTCTGAATCAAATTAGGTTATTATTTATTTCATGGGTCAATAAATTCCTAATAATTACAGGATATGGGAAGTTTCCTTGAATTGTGTAATTAGTTAGATTTGTTTGCTTAGACTTTATTTAGTTGTGTTGAGATTATGAATACTAGTACCTAGAAAAATGATATGTTGTATGTTCAACGCTATCTTCACCGGGAGGCAAATTTTACATTACACAACTTCATTTGTCTGCAGGTTACACAAGCATTAATTGGAATTAATTATTTGTAAGTGTAAAAATTGAACACAACTCAGCAGTCATTAGGAATCTTTTTAGTTTTAGTTTAGCTTAGTTTATTTGGCCCAAAACAAAGCAGAACAAAATCCAATACATGTACATGCATACATACATTCTTAATACAAAAGCCAGTATACTAAGGTGACATGAAGTTTGTTGACGTGCATGAGCTTGTATTACACACTCCCTTAATTATAGACTTAAATCCCCAGAACATCAGCTAGGCATGCGGTCACTCAATGTCAGTTTTATGGTGCAGTGTATATTTGGAGAGGGTGAAAAGTGAACTGGATCCTGAGCCACATCATAGTCACTGTGTATAAATAGTAATGTCTGGTGATGTTGGCGTTGCTCACTGAACATTAAAGGAGCATGGAGCCTGATGAAAGAGACTGAAATATGATTTGCATTAGAGGAGCAAAGGGCCATATTGTGAAAGAGAGGGCAACAGAGGGTGAGGAAGATGAAGATGGATAGGGAGTGACGCAGACTCAGAGTGAATGAGCAAGTCGGCTTGAGAGAATCAAAATGAGGGTGAATTCACATTTCTCTAGGTTGAGCAGGTCAGAGTCTGATTAATGAATTGTATTCATGTTTCAGTAATGATAGGCTTCATCAGGTCGTGCTTAAGGGCTGTATAATCACTGAAACTGACCTT